GTCCCTCAAAAGCAGAGTTCAGCTGGGGTTGATCCTCGGGATGTCACAGAGTTGTGTCCGTGGAGCAGGCACCGAGCTGTGATTCGGCACAGCAAGGACAGGGAGCTGCTGGAGAAGTGCAGAGGAGGCACCGTGGTGATCAGGGGGCTGGAGCAGCTCTGCTGGAGGAAAGGCTGGGAGAGTTGGGATTGTTCAGCCTGGAGAAGAAAAGCTTTGGGGTGAGCTAATTGTGGCCTTCCAGTATCTGAATGAGCTGACGAGAAAGATGGAGAGACTATTGACAAGGGTCTGGGGTGACAGGACAAGGAGGCATGGCTTCCCACTCACAGCAAGTGGGTTTAGATTAGATAGTGGGAAAAGATTCCTCTCTGGGAGGGTGGTGAGACCCAGGCACAGGTTTCCCAGAGAAACTGTGGCTACCACACCCCTGGAAGTGTCCAAGGCCAGGTTGGATGGGGCTGTGAGCAACCTGGGCTGGTGGAAGGTGTCCCTGCCCAAGGCAGGGGGTGGAATGGAATGGTCTTTAAGGTCCCTTCCAACCCAGACCATCCTGGGGTTAGAGACAGCCCCATGACTGGTGCCTGAGCTGCCCAGCCTGCACAGGTGGAATAAGGGGGGTGTTAGCAGTGCAGATATCCTGGCTGTACCGCTGTGCCTCTCTCCTGCCCGGGAACTCCAGCTGGAAGCTCTTGCTGGGCAGAGGGAGCTCTGTGTGCCCGTGGTCACTTTCTGTGTGAAACGCCTGTCTTGGGTTGGTGTTTTTGGGTGAGCCTGTCGGTGTGCTGTCACACTGCAAACCCCAGCAACGCTGGCCTGGCACTGTGTGCAGGGAACTTCAGTCCTTTCCTCTGCAGTCAGGGCCAGGTGAGTCACTGCTGGGAGAAACCGGGGCCGCACCTGGCTGGGAGGTGTCAGCACGTGTGCGGGTCACGCCGCGCCGGGCACAGAGCTCCTGCTGCAGGGGCTGTGGCACAGCGGGGGTGACACGAGCAATGAGGGAGAAATAAAACCTCGGGATGCACCACACCCCTCCCCTGCTGGGGTCTGGAGGGGGAGCACGGCCTGGCACGGGAGCAGCCCATGGTTGGGGACTGCACCGGGGCAGCGGCTCAGCCTCGGGTGCTGCAGCCGCCTTTCCAGCCCTGGGAGGGTGTTGGATTGGAGCAGAGATTTTTCCCGGGGGATGTGGCCTGTGCCTCAGCACGAAAGGGTTAAGCTGAGGTTGGTGTTTATGTAACCGAAGAGGGAACTCCCAGAGATGAGTCCTTGGCTATCTCATGTGTTGATGCATCAGAAGGGCTTGAAGAAAGCCCGGCTTGTTGCTTGCGCTGAAATTACGTACTGGAAGCCTGTGCTTCAGAGTTTCCCCGGCTGCCTGCGGGGGGCCGGGCTGGAATTTGCTTTCCCCATGTGTGGCTCGGACTGTGGAAGCCTGTTTTGTCCCTGAGGAGCTGTAGACTGGCCACAGCTGGCTGTGGGTGGAGGTAAGGTGTGCTGGGCTCCTGTGCTCCTCGGTGCCGCCTGTGCCTTGGTGCTGGCTGTGCCTTGCTCACGTGCCCGGGGCTCATCTGGTGGGCAGGTTGGCTGAGGAAGGAGTTTTTCTGGGGAGGAGGGGTTCAGTGGGGGCTACCAGAGCCGTTCCTGTCTCCCAGCTTGCAAAGTTCAGCCAGTCCTTGCTTTCCCGGTGCCTTCCAGTGGCACAGGGGTGCCCCAGCCCCTCGTGCTGCCCAGCGCCCCGGGATTTTTCCTTCTCTGGTCAGACAGAATCTGTGCCTGGTTTCGAGCGAACTGCTCGCTCAGGGAAGAAGTTGAATGAGTGTCCGTGCAGTTCCAAGAACCCTGTGAGTCAGGGCTCTGTTTCGGGAGCAGGCTTCCCTTCCCGGAAGGG